CCTAAAGGGAGGGTGGTGGCTGTGTGCTGTGGAGTCAGTTCCGACTCATATTGACCCTGTACAGTGTTTCTGAGGCTATAAATTGTTACAGGAGCAGAACGCCTCATCTTTCTCCCACGGAATAGCTGGTGGTTTCAAACTGCTGAACTTGCATTTTGCGGCCCAATTCGTAACCACTAAGCTCAGGGTGTAAATCCACAGGGAACAGGAACAGGAAGATTAAATAAAAGGCAGGTAAATAAGAGCATCTAGAATTGTGCAAAAGGTACTGCAAATTAGGAATCAGAAATGTAAGTAAATAGTGACTGCTAATGAGTACAGAGCTTCTTTTGGAAAAGATAAAAATATTCTATAATAAGTTAAATAAAAATCATTTGGCTCCCTGCCAAAAGAAGTGGGGGCGGGGAGGGCAACGAGTGGAGTATCTTTGGAGGCTGAGTTATCTTCATCATAGCATCATTTTTATATTAGGCACAAAGTTAAATATATTACCACAGGTAGTTAAACAGATTGGTTTCTTCCACATAATACATATTTTTATTGGTGGTTTGTTGGAATTTTCTTGCTGTTGTTAGGCATTTTAATCTCGGGGTGGCATTTATTATTATTAAAAAGGCATTATATAGATTTTACTGTGTTGTTGCTATTACGTGCTATAGAGTTGGTTTTGAATCATAGTGATCCTGTTTAGGGTTTCCAAGAGACTCTCGTGGGTTGGAACTGCGAGATTCTCTTGGAAACCCTAAACAGGATCACCACTTCAATGCTTAACTTACAGCACCACACCAGGGCTCATTATTTTACTGTAAATCACGTCAAATGTATGTATATACTATGATGGATGCATACATTTTTACAAATATTGCATATATGTAAACTGTAAGTTAAAAAGTTTCAAGTCACAAAATATTCACTATATAAAAATCCCATCTACAAATGAAGACATTTATGAAGGACATAAATTCTACCTTTAAATATAAGTGCAGCACTTGACAGGGACATGATGCTCACCTATCAAACTGTACCCTTTAATTTCCATGTCACCTCAATAAGGACCCATAACCCAACAGCATACATACCACATTGTGGGAAACCAGTGCCCTGGGCACTCTCTAAATTGCACTGCAGGCCCCAATTGGAACACTCAGGGGCAATCTCTAAATAATGTCCCACACTGCCCTCCAATTTCAAGAGGCACAGATGTTGACAGCAGCGAACCAACAGAAGTGCCTTCCCCTTTTGTCTGGCTACCTCAAGAGGGCATCTTGCATACGTAATTGTGCGGCCGGGGATGTCATACCACACATCTCCTCGGTCCTCCCTATGGACTTAAGTCCAGAGGCAAGTAGCCCTCTCTGGAACACCCAGCAGCCCACTGCCTGTGGATGTCTACCATGCTTGAAGAAGGGCTTTGGGCCATACCCGGTTAATGTACTGCTCAGTGGTACCTCAGGGCACATGCCATATCTTAGATACACACCTATGTCTGTCAAGGAATGATTTCAATGAACTCTTTTTTATTTCTTCTAATTGTAGCTCCACCACTTGTCTGTCAGTTTGTCTTACTGTGGTGGCCTGTGAGTTGTTGTGATTCTGAAAGCTAGGCCACGGTATTTTAAATACCATCAGGATCACCCATGGTGGACAGGTTTCAGATGAGCTTCCAAAGA